TACCTTGAGTACGCTGGTTCGTTCAGGTCCGTTCATGTTCCAGCCACCTGCACTATGCTCTGACATTTGTATCCGGGTACCTTCAGTACGCTGGTTCGTTCAGGTCGGTACATGTTTCAGCCACCTGCTCTATGCTCTGATATTYGTRTCGTACAAATTGGCTCCTGTCCCGGTCGCCTGCCCTGAGCTCCGACGTTAGAGGCTCGCTACCTTGCGTATGGCTGTCCGCGCCAATCGGTTCATGCTCTGGTTACCTGCTCTGAGCTCCGGGAATTGCGATGTGTTACTTTTTTTTTGTACACACCAATTGGTAGAGCCTGTGAGCCATCTGCCTCGCATCTTGATCTTGCAAGCTTTCTGTACGATCGTTCGTGCGGCCTGGCATGATTCCCTGTTTACGAGCTCGGCGCTCTGGTACTTACATTGCGCTGCTTGCCCGCGCAATTGTTAGTGACCTTCGGAGCAGGCTAGTTAGTTACTGCTACTCGATCCCTGATTCGAAGCTTGGCACCACTGGTTTCGCCTGGGTCTCGAGCTGCAGCCGAAGGAGAGAGGGAGAGAGAGAGAGAAGAAGAGAGAGAGAGAGAGGGAGAGAGAGAGAGAGAGAGGGGAATAGAGAGAGAGAGAGACGAGGGGCGTCGGCACACGCTGCTATTACCCGAAGCTTTCGTTTCTGCCACATATCGAGCCTAGAACGAGGGGGAGGGCGCGTCGCCAAGCGGGGTCTCCCAAAGCCCTGCTACTTTGCCTTCTCTGAGGTCCACTCGTTTGTCGTGCATCGGGTTCCTTTAAGTCAGCACAAGATGCTGCGAACGATTCTCTGAAGCCTCACCATTTCGTCTTTCCCGAAGCTTTCCTGCTGGTTTTGTGTCGGGTCGGTCTGGTCCGCTGCAGGTAACCTCCTGACCCGAGAACTGGGCGCTCGGCGGGTGTTCGCTGCTGGGTGTGCCGGTAGGCGAGGAGGGACCCGCTTGTCATGACGGGGATTCTGAGCTATCTTGTTGTCCACTCCAAAAATTAGACACAAAGCACCCTTGGGCAAAGTCGCGGGTGTCCCCATCAAGGATTGCGAATGAGTTAGCTTTCTGGTCCTCTAGCCCGAAAACGAGGGAAGGGTTGACTCGCTCTCAGCCGCATCGCTCGGATATCCCCTCACTTCGCTACGATACCCGTGAAACGCGACAAAGGCTCCCACCTGCCCCCTCTTCCGGAAGTGGGGCAGGAACGAAGCAAGGCCAAAAAGAGCTCAAAAGGGGAAAGATAAGGAGGGTGAAAGACAAGAGGGTTCCCCCGACAACGTGGTAACCGGATTGTGTGGCAATACACGGTGGCTACGATCTGCATGGAGCTACTTCAGCGAGTTCTGAAGAAGGCATGATCGTCCTTCGATCTTTTGTTCAAGAAGACATTGTGGAGCATGATCGTCTCCCTGCCCTTCGTACGTGATCGTTACGGTTGAGCAAGTGACTGGAAAGAACAGGGGATTGAGCGATGGTATGTAAGAGGAGTTGGGTGCTGTCTATTTCATGACCAAGGGGAGCTTACGAATGCGGGGTAGGAGTTATGACAGATCGTAACTTTAGAGAGTTTGAGTTTTTCCGTTTATGGCGAGATCTTGAGAGAAGCGTCTTCGGCGATCTCATTCCTCATTTGTTGGTTACTTCGCACTTTGCCGACGTAGATTCTAGGGAGGAGTGTTTTGATTATTTAGAAAAGTTCCTAGGAAGACTATACAGCGTCGGGTGTATCGTTAGAGATCAAAGGCGGAAAAGGAAGAGGAGGCGAAGGAAAAGAGAGTAAGGATGATTAACTTTCAGATTCCTGGGGGACAGCCCATTCAAGGAGTGGGGAACGATATTCCGCTAGGAGGAAGTGCGCAGCAAGGCGTGGTTTTGTGTTATAACTGTGGGAAGATCGGTCACTACGCACGGAATTGCTGGTCAGCAGGGAATGGGAGACCAATCGGAGTTCCTTCCACCATAGTCAATAGCGCGACGAACGATGATGAACTGAAGGAGATGAAGGAGTATTTTCGAGAGAAACTAAGAAAATGAAGAATGGATGAAGATAAGAGAGAGAAGGAAGAGGAAGAAAAGAGGAGAAAGGAAGATGAGAGTAGGAGGGAGCATGAGAGGCTTAAAGAAGCCGAAGCACGCGAAGCAAGGATGGAAGCCAGATTGGTTCGTCTACTCGCTCAAAATACAAAGACAATGGAGAAAGGGGAGTCTTCGTTGGGTAAGAAGAAGTCGCCTAAGACGAAGGCGAAAATGTTAAGGGAGATTAGGAGCTACTTAGTAGAATCAGAAGACGACAGTGAAGAAGTTCAGGAGGAAGCAGGGAAGTTGATCGATGCTATCGAAAGAAGGAAGGGAAAGAGAAAGGAAATAGAAGAGGTGGGGGCTTTTTCGAAGATTCAGCGGAAAGGACTTCGAAACACTCCAGTGAAAATCGAGGACGATGACGAAGTAAAGACCCCTCCGACCACCTCGAAGGGGGGTGAGCCCGGGGGGATGAGTACTGACATGTTAGACTTCGCCATCGAGATGCATCGGCACTTGTCTGAGAAGAAAGTTCCAGAGCTTAGAAAACTATGTACTAGGGAAGGTATGGAGTGGTCGAGAAGGGAGGTAGCTATTGGGGAGTTAGTAAAATGCAATGCGAAACTTGCGTATGGAGGTTATGTAGAAAGTGGAAAGATTTCGCCCATTTTTGAGAAGTAAAGAACAGGGGGTTCTCGTGATGTTTTGTCACGAGCAAAGCAATCGAGGGGAGAGAGGGGTATGGAACGGTGAGGTGGCGTAATCTTTCGGAGCTGCTTGTATCTCAGGTGGGTTTTTCGTGGGAGCTTATCAGGTGGAGACCTTGATATATCGACGGAAGGTCCATAAGTTAACATAGTCGTTAGTCCGTATCGTCGGTACTTATATCGGAGGTTTTTACATCTCAGAAAGACTATCAGTGGTGGCGGATCAGGTTGAGAAGTGGCAAAAACATGGGCTCCCGTGATGATCTATCACGAGCGATGCAGAGAAGAGGAGAGGAGGTTAATCGAGGGGAGAGAGGGTTGAGGAGCGGAGAAGAGGATTATATCTTCCGACTCTTTTTGTATCTCGTAATCAAAGGTGAGTTTCCGTGGGCAAGAAAATGGGTGGGGATCTTATCGAGTGGGGACCTGGAGGTATCGACGAACGATCCTGGAGTATACGTACTCGTTAGTCCGTATTGTCGGCACTTCTATCTGGGATGTACTTCTCAGAAGATTATTATTAGATGGGCGGATCATGTGAAAGGTGTTATTCAAAGCAAGATGGGTAACGCGCCGAGACTTCACTGTTGGCTCAAGGTTTTCGGATGGGAGAAGTACCTCGCCCTTCCTTTGATAAGTAAAGTTTCGGACCCCTTCGCGGTGGAAAGAGCCCTTATCAGGAGGTTTTCGCCCACTTTGAACACGCAAGGAAACAAGAGTGAGAGGAAGAAGACAAGGAGGAGGAAAGGGAAGAGGGAAAGAGGGAAGAGGGGGAGTAACCAGGTGGGGGGAACGGTCATCACGTTCAACGGAAAAGCATCGATTATCGATGCAATCAGGGAGTTGAAGCAAAGAGGAGGGGACCCACGGATTCACTCTTCCGGCGGGACTATTTGGGTAGATAAATGGAAGATCGTCAAAGGGAAAGTAGGTGGTTGTGTTTTAGAGATTAAAGGGTGTAGCTCATCTTTAGGTGATTGCAGGAAGGCGTTAGAAGAAGGTGGGGTCTTTCGGCTTAAGGTGATTAAGATAGTAACGTCAAGAATCCAGCGCAGGAAGAATGTTCTTCGTGATCTCCTGCGCTTTCCTGGTAGAATTCGGAGGATGTATCAGGCGGGATCTGAGGAGCTTATTGCTTTGTTCCGAACCACGACGCTCTTCTTCAATAAGAAGACAAGGAACTACCTGAAGAATGCCATTACCAAGATCGTGAGAAGGAAATTTGGCGTCGAGATCCGGAGGAAACCTTGCGTCAAGATACCATTCTCGCCAGGAATTCGAATAGGGGAGGTGAGCAGTGTTGCTGCATGCATGCTGTCGCAGACTCTGCCAGATAAGAATATTTCTGCGTTTGTTGGAAAGCGTGTGAGAGTCGTATTCAAGAAAAGGATTACTGTGGGGGGAGTGATTCACAATCACCGATTGTTCGCTGAGATGGGAGAGGCGGAATGTACGTGCCAGGGTCTTGATCTTCCAAGGGTGGGAGGACATGTCAAGGTGAGACTGGAGAACGTTGGGAGATTACCAGCATTTGTAACGAATTCGAAGAATATCACCAAAGGTTACGATGCTACCGTCGGCATGCTGGAGGAATGTATTCGAGAGGGTTTGGAACCTTGGTCGATGAGGAAGATCATCCGCGTGAACCACGAGATGTTACGCAGATGCATCGGCCCGGCGAGTGTCGAGGTGTCACTTGCTATGACAGTAAGAGAGGTAAAGGAGACGATGGTGATGTTCCAGAAACTAGCCGCCGTTCCTATTGACCGAAACCCAGGTGCCACTCTTCTTATCTGCCCAAGCATGTATGTTGAAGCATGTAAACAGGTGTTCAATCTCAATCCGAGTTACGAGTCCGTTTTTCGCGAGGAGGTCGAGATTCTCAGGTCGATGAAGGAAGATTACGAAAAGCGTGGTCTACGGCGAGTGGCAAGGTGGCAGACGGGAGGGAAAGTGGGACAATCATACATTCTACCGAAAGCTAAGGATCTAGATAGATGGAGACCGATCTCTCCGTGCACGCACGATCCAGGGAGGTTGGCAGGGTCGAGAGTAGGAAAGGCAATCCGGTATATGCTGTTTGGTGTCGATCGAAGAATTCACTTTGATTTGAAATCGACCGATGAGATGAAAGAGTATTGCGGACTGATGCAGAAGAGATTGGGCAGGAAAGCGGATGGGGCTTTGATTAGGAGTTATGATATAAAGGACATGTTTGCCCGCTTGTCACACCACATCGTGTTAGATGCACTAGCTTGGCTGATTAAGTACCATCAGGATAGAGGTATGATGGGGGTAAAAGTCAGTGCGAGAGGAAAGATTTGTGCCATGATCAGAAAAGTGAAAAAGGAGGAAGGGTTCGTGGTTTTGAAATTTGAAGATATCCGGGAGGTTATTGAATTTGAGGTAACTCACACCTTCATTAGATGCGCGGGTGGGCTGTTGAAGCAAGTCTTCGGGATTCCTATGGGGAGGAATTCGAGTCCGGCTATTGCCTGTCTGGTATGTGCATTTGGGGAAGTTAACTTCGTGATGTCACTGGGTAGAATGAGGGAGATGGTGTGCGGGATGTGGATGATTGATGATGTCGCAGTAGCTGTAGCATTCAAGGTAGGTGACCAGAAGAGTATTTCCGAGGCCGAGAATGTTCTGAACAGATTTGGAGAATGCTATGACAACAGACTAACACTGGTCAGGAAAGATGTAGGGGGCAACTCCTTTGATTTCTAGGGAACTCGGATTTTTCTGGAAATTCAGCCCATCAGATTCGTCATACATCCCCGGACGAGGAATCAGATCAGCTTACTCGAGGACGGTAAGTTGAAGATACAGTCCATGCAAGATTACGCATCATTTTCGAAGAAAGCCAGCAAGAAGGCCTCCGTCTTCTGAACTTTGGTGAAAATGTACCGACTGACCAATTCTGATGATGCCATGAAAGCTGCCATAGCCACAGTGGTGATCGAAACCCGCCTCCGGGGATACCCCCCGGAGGTCTCTCTCGGTGCCCTGGCGCGGTTCGTCAGGGTGTTCGGTGGTCCGTTGGGAAGTTATCTTCCTAACGAGTACCCCGGGCTAAAAAAGTATCTGTGAGGGACTCTGTTTGATCGTTTGGACCTTGGGATTGCCCTCCCGAGTTTGCTTGGTTTTGTCTGAGTCTTTTTTTTGGGTTTTGTCTGAGTTTTTGTTGGCCTTCTAGATCTGGTTTTGTAATACCGGCCAATTGAATCTATTGCGATGAATCGATCATACCACCGGTGGAGGCGGGACACACAGGTGGTTTGTACTCTATTTGGTTTTTGCTGCTTCCGCGTTTTGATTTTTTGGGAAAAAAAGGGGAAGTCGTTTGAAGTAGGAAATAGAAAAGTACGCGACGCTGTTACTCCCTGGTACAGATGCTCTGTTTAGATAGTCGACGATACGAGCGAAGAAGGGTCTGGTCGGTTGGGAGATTTTCTGGAAGCGAGTATAGCGGGACGGGAGGCAGAACCCAGTTTTGGAAAGGGTAAGGATTCGCTTGCATAGGAGCAGGATGGTTGAGAGGAGAGAGAGAAGAGAAGGGGGACAGACGGGAAGCATATATGAGCTATCGACCGATGATCAGACTTTCACGGACAGGGAGGACGAAGAGGTTTTTTGGAGGGAATGGAGTAGCAGTTCGTGGCGAGCATTATTCCAGAGGTAAGTAGGAGATGCTCAGACTGGCTAACTCGATAGTCTTGTGTGCTATGTGTTACAGGTGTTCGGAGACGATCTAAGACTTAGGATGGGATTCACGCATTCGTTAGTAAGGTTCGTATTTAAGAGGGTGTGATCATGAAATAGTGGTATCTCAACTTGGATGTTTGAGCCTCCTGATGAGTCTGCTGCCGCGCGCCAGCAGTGAAACGTGTAGAGGCAATGCGTGCGTGTGCTTATTGGAAGATGTTTTTTGAAGATATTTCGAGATGAAGTTGGGAGAATACCATTGACTCTGTGTTCTGCGGTGTTGTTTTTTTGGGGTGTGTTGTGTCTTCTTCCTCTCTTTATTCTCTCTGTCTCTCTCTCTCTCTCTCTGTCCCTCTCTCTCTTTCTCTCTCTCTCTCTCTCTCTAGCCCATTTGCGTTCGTCTTCCGCTACTCGCGTTACAGTCAGTTACAGTCAAACACTTATCACTAACCGTAGTAACAGAGAGAGAGAGAGAGAGAGAGAGAGAGAGAGAGAGAGAGAGAGAGAGAGAGAGAGAGAGAGAGAGAGAGAGAGAGAGAGAGAGAGCCAGAGTTGCGCTAGTCAATTTCTAACAGATAGATAGATAGATAGATAGATAGATAGATAGATAGATAGATAGATATAGAGAGAGAGACTCTGGGTGCCGTTTCCAAGGTCCAAGATTGCCGTTTGCGCGAGGGTGGCAAAGCGTGGGTGCCCATCCATTTCCAACCTGCGCCAAACGTTTAAATTTGACCATTTTCGCCTGCGCGGCGTTTCCAAGGTCCAAGGGTGTCGTTTCGACCACTGCCGCCTGCCTGCCGCCCAACGACCACGCCAATAGCGGTCCTACGCTGTCCTGCCCCTTGCTATGCCCCAAACCTCAAAATGCCCACCCTCCCGAACGACCACCAACGTTGAAATTTGAAGTGATGTTGACTGTACCATCCTTCCTCCTCCCCTCTCGTCATATCATCATTCAATCTGACTTCCCCTTGCATCAAAAAAACATCGGGTGCTGGTCAACAAGTTCTTTGACCGGCTTCTTTTTTTTTCCTAATCATCTGGTGGCATTCAACAAGTTCCTTGAGCCAGACTGGCTTTAGTGGCCGAGCTGTCACAGCGGAAAATTGTTTTTCAGCAGAGAGGACAACATGTTGGGAGGATGACGAAATGAGGACAGCAATGATGCTGACATGAATAATGATGATGATGATACAGCGGATAAATGGGGGTGAGCAGGAACCTTGTGGAGGAGAATGTGGTGAAAAAAAGTCACTCACAGTGAGGATGGGGTTTCCATACACTCTCAATGATCTCCTTATGACTCGGGAAGCCTGCAACCAGTTCTTCTACGCTCTTCTTGTCTCTAACAGATGCTCGGCGGACTTCAAAATCCTGAAAAACGAAATTTATCACACAATTTTGTGCCGAGACAATTGTAATAAACGATAGGACATTTGCTAAAACTGAAAAAGGAAAACAAAAAAAAGGGCAAATGCACCTGCTGATGCTGAAAAAGGCAGTTGCCTTGTGGCTGACTGGCCCTCACATGCAGATGCCGATAAGCAGGTCATCTCAGGCTCTTCAACTTGTCGGACTGTGTGGCATGTGTGTGTATGTCAGGGACGGGGCACAGAAAGAAGCATGTCGGACATTCTGGCTGCTCGCTGTAGCAATGCTCGAGGTGCTCAGCAATTTCACATCCGTGCAACGACATCTCAATGTCATTTCAATGGCATCTCATTGGCCATTTCACATTCATGAAATGGTCATCTCAATGCATAGGATCTCCCCTCCTTCCCCGCCCCTCTCTCTCTGTTTCTCTCTCTCACCAATGGCCTTTTCACATTTGTGAAGCGGCATCTCAATGGTATTTTACATTTCCTGAAATGGCACCTCAATGCATCAAAGCAGATGGTTGATTAGTATGACCACATGAACGCATACTTGTGTCTGTGATGTCTGAGGCAAGCTCCTGCTCACGGTGACCGAGATTCTTTGCTTTCTAGTCGTTGACCCTTTTTTCGTTTCTTTGCTTTAAAAGGGTGTCGGCCTTCAGATGCCATCATGATTGAACTGATCGGCTCCTGATGATTCAGAACTATTTTATTTCATTCATCTAGGTCCATCTGGATTCGAACCTGGGTCTGTTATTTTCTCTTTTTTTTTTTCTAGAAAACTGGGAGCATTAAAAAAAAAAAAAAAAAAAAAAAACTGGGAGCATCAACGGCTTAGCTTTATATATACAAGCCGGAAAATGGGCCCGGCATCCCTCCCAAAAGGAAGAAGACTGCTTGGGAACGGCCGAGGCAGTCCAGTCAAGACCGAGCCCCAGTCCTTAATAATGTCACCAACACCGCAAACCGGCCAAACAGAAAAACAACTCATACCGTGCATCTGTAGTGCATGGGACTGCATGCCAACATCTGCTAGTACTGGGGCGCCGCAGCGACTCAACGCTCCATTTATTCATCTTGATGGGTGAGGCGCAGCATCTTTGCCAGCATAAACAGCAGCAACCAAACACTAAACCTCTGCCACTGCTGCAGTTTGCAACCTGGGGCGATGTCCTGCTAGCAAGACGATTGGATTTCAGTCGTGAATGTGGACGTACTTGTGGTGAGGTGCAGAAAATCGCAATTGATGTGCGTTTCTGCACCTGTCCACAAGCACGTCCAGATTCATGAGCTTAATCCAATTCTCTTCGCTAGTGGGTCCTCGCCCCTGTAGTACTATGAGAATGACAGGCAGCATGAACTGCAGAGAACAAAAGGGGGAAAAAAAAATCATTATAACCTACTAGAAGTTCCAAAACTGAGCAGCTACAGTGAATGCAATGAACGAATTGAATTCGAATAGCCAACTCCACACGCATCACGCCGGAAGTTCAGGGAAGGCTCGCACAACACAAGAGAGATGCGGACTAGGCCCAAACGGAATATCTAACAGATCATCGATTTGTGGTAGTCGTTCAACATTCTTAAACCACCAGTACCTCGCTCAGCTATTGAATCCGAGCCTCCCAGCACGCTGCGCGCCAAGTCCTGCCGAACCGCCGTCGCAATTTTCTTTTTCGTTTTGCCTGCGGCCTCCAGCCAATGCGGTCCGGCAGGCCGAAGCCCAAATGGCGCGGCGCGTATACGGGAAGCGCCGCAGCCCATAGCTGGGCCAGGTACTGGTGGTTTAACAATAATTGCGTTGCACTTCAGATCGCTATAGTCTATACACATTCGTAGTTTGCCCTTTTTCTTAGGCACGGATACGACTCGTAAAATGACTGGATCTTCGTCTTCCCACCTTCTGGGCTGGGCAGCTAGCACTAGTGCTCGTCCCTCTGCCATAGGGGCCTGCATACAGGAGGGTCCAACTCAGCGCTTGCTTCTTCCTATATAAAGTTTGCAGCCCCAGTAGGAGCAACTGGTATTCGTACGGCCATTCCCTTTTGCTGGCTGTCTGAGCTCAGGGCAAAAGGGGATGATGTGGCCCAGATACCCACATGTGGAGCAAACTCCCTCCTCTCTCCTCTGCCTCCACAATGCTTCTGGCATTTTCATAGTTGTCTGGGGCTCTCCTTCCTCACGCATTGGATTAGGAGGATACCTGCGGGGATCTCGGAACCCACCATTTCCAGCATTTATGAGGGCAAAGTTGCCCCCTCTTCCACCTTGAAAGGAGGAAGGAGCTCGACCACCTTGCGGGGAACCATATCCCCTTCCTCCTGCTAGGAAGCCCTGATTGCCTCCAATCCCCTGTGCGGCCTGTCCTCATCCTCTCATACCATGGCCTCCTCTTATTTGGCCTCCCCCACTCTCTCCCACATGGGCTGCTACAACCTTATCCCCTCCCCGGACTTCTTGGTCATGGTCTCCTGCCAACCCAAAGTCTATCTGGTCATAAGGGAGATCTTCTACTCCCCATCCCTCGGAAGTAATCAGGAGTTTGTCGCTCCCTTGAATGCTACCTAGGATCGTACCCACACGCATAAGGCGGCGATCTCATTGGCCGAGTGGATAGATCTTGGGGTCCGTCTTGACCTTCGCCTGTTCCTCCAGTTTACTCGCCAACGCTGCTCCCTCCTACAAC